GTCAACAGGCTCTCCAACACTTCCTAAAATTCAGCAATCGGCTTTAACCAGCCAGTGCAAGCTGCCACCGAGCACCACTGCATCCAGGGTAGAGGCTGAATGCTGGTGAGACGTCGAGGCAGTGACAAAGCATCTCTCATATGTTACTCATATTTTACACTCAGCTCAAAAAGATCTTCTACAGAGAGTTCCTTCTCATTTGTGCTACGTCTAAACTGGATGACTTACCTTTTGTTCCACATTGTCCTCCACAAATTTTATTGGATTTTCCAAAGCAGTAAGCAATAAATCAGTCAACTTCAGGCTACAAGAGAAGGTAGGATAAAATAAATCCTAATATTACACATTTGTTTTTAAAGAATTTGTGTTTATGAATATAATTCTAGAGGAATAAATGTGGTATATCCAGAATCCTAAACAAAAGGGGAAAAACAAAGTGACTTGGAAGCCACCTTCTACTTGCAAAATTCAAGTGTAAAAGCTCAAAACAAATAATAAGCCCCTCAAAAATCCCCTCATGGAAGGGGATTCATTTCCTCAGACTCGTATCAGTAAGCTTTGAAAAGACATCCTCTCTCTTCCCTCAGTAAGTGCTGAACTTCAGCCTCCTAGAACTCTATGTTCCCTAAAGGAGGATGCTCAGTCTTTATCTTCTGGCTTCTGCTCATTTACTGGATGTGAATTTAGAACATTCCCCACTGGACAAGGGGTCATCGAGGGCTGAGGTGGAATTCATTCATTCATTTAACAAGTATTTACTGCATATCTTCATATGTGAAAAATAATGCACAACTATGTACGTGAAACTGTGTGCTAAGCTGGGGGTGTAGCAAGATCCCTATCCTCTCTAAGCCTGATCATGTAATGGAGAGAGACAGAGAATTAATCAAATAAGCAAAGAATAATTTCAGACAGCGACAAGTAGATTGGTGAGTGAAGACAGTAAACAAAATGATGACATAGGAGAGTGACAGGGCAGTCTATTTAACATTCCTCACTTGAGTCAGGACAGTCAGGAAGCCAGTCAGGCTTGAATATGTGGGAAGGTAGAGCGGGCAGTAAACACAAGGGCCCTGAGACAAGAAGCAGCTTCTTGCGTTCAGGAAACAGAGGAGGCCAGTCTGGTTGAAAAGGAGCAAGGATAGAGTGCTGGGATGTGAGGCTGGGGGGTTCATCAGGGTAGACTGTGTAAGCTGTGTTAAGGAGTTAGAATTTCACACAGAATACAGGCGGTAGCCCTGAAAAAAATTAAAGCCAGTGAACTCACTATGTTGACTCTTAACCTCAAGATGATTTTTCTCACACAGAAAAGAGCCCAGGTTCTGGAGTGAGTGAGGCTGCCCTGGGCCCAAATCCTGGCTCTGCCACTTACTACCTGGATTTGTTACTTGACTTACCTGGGCCTCCGGTATCCTATCATAAAAGGGGGGTAATTCTATCTCCCCTCAGAGGATTGTTGCGAGGACTGAATGAGGTTATAAAGTGTTCAGAACGTGCCCAGGACATATTATCTGCTCAGCAGCTGCTGCCAGTGGTAGCCGCAGCGGTCACAGCGGTCACAGCGGTAGCGGCAGCAGCCATGGTGCCGGTGGTGTTAGCAGCATTACTTCACAGAAGCTGGGAAGGGTATATCTGTCACATCATCTTTCAACTTCCAACACGGGGCCACCAGACTTCAGACTACCCCTTCACTGTTATACTGTGACTATTTGGATATGTGAGGACAGGTGACCAAGTCCTTAAGACCCAAGACAAAACTGCAGATTATGCTCAGGGTCGGCACTGGCAAAGCTCACGCCCCAGGCTCCCTGCAAGCGCTGGCCCTCACTGGTCTGAAGGCTTTGATGAGAACCTTATGTGGCTCCCGTGGAGGATCTCAATGCCTCAACCAGCCATTCACTTCCACAGCCAAACATGTTAAGTATTTCAGAAAGGGCAGCAATCAGTTGGCTGTGTGCCTGCCTGCTCAAAGTTTCAAAATATTATGAGAAGTTACAATTAGAAACCTCAGCAGTAGCTTCCTTCCTACACCCTATAAACAATAGTTATTTCAATTTGTTTCTTTTTTTTTCTTTAGTATGTTAAAGTACCTATTATAAGATGCATAGAACCTGTATCCTGGGAACTAAACATTTTGAGGAATGAAATTAAAAAATTAGCCTTTTAAAAGCTGCTGATCCTTTCTGAACAACAGTTAGGCAGGAACAAAGGAGCTGTGGAGCAACTGCTCTAGAATGGCACTGTCCTCTACAGCATCCACTAGCCACATGCGGCTACTTAAGTAATTTAAATAAGATTGATTTATTTTTAAATTTATTATTATATTATTTAATTAGTTTATTTTGGTGGGGGGAGGTAACTAGGTTTCTTTATTTTTAGAGGAGGTACTGGGGATTGAACCCAGGACCTCATGCATGCTAAGCAAGTGCTCTATCACTTGACCTATACCCTCCCCACAAATAAGATTTAAAATTCAGGTCGGTCGTAAGTTGTGCTGGCTGTATTTCAAGTGCTCGAGGATCAGTCACATGTGGCTAACAGCTACCATACTGGGTGGTGCAAACACAGAACACATCCATCATCAATGAGATTTCTATTAGAAATGTGCTGAGGCAGGGGGAGGGTATAGCTCCGTGGTAGAATGCGTGTCTAGCACGCACAAGGTCCTGGGTTCAATCCCCAGTACCTCCATCAAATAGTAAATAAGCCTAATTACTCCCTCTCCTCACAAAAAAGACCAAAATAAATAAATAAATGTGCTGAACTAGAACTTTCCAGAACTCCAGAACTCTCAAGACCTATTTCATGAATGAAATGCATTAGACCCCATAGCCACAAGCCCATGGCTACAAGCAGGGTAACACCAGAGTGAGGTTTAAGGCAAAGTTATGACTTGGTCCCAACTCCACAGCTTTTCCTTCTACAAGAAAGCTACTGGGCAACCTATTTGGACAACGCTCCTTTAGCAAGAGTACCAGAGATGTGTCCTACTCTGAACTCTCTGCTCCGACCTCTGGGAAACAGAAGAATTTTAACGACAGTACACATTTGCAAACAAACCTAGGTTCACATCTCATCTGTCACTTACAGTCCCATTGACTCTGGGCAAACTAAACTTCCTCGCTCAGTTTCCTCTTCTATACAAGGGGAAATAGCAATCTCTCTCCAGGGCTGGTGTGAAGATCAACCAAGGGGACACAGGTAAAGCATTCGGCACAGCACCTGGCGCAGCCAGGAACCCAGTGAAAGACACACTGAGTAGGATACCTGGCCTCTGAAGAACAGGCTGGACTCTGAAGTGTGAGGCTGTTGTGTTCCCAAGCGTTTTTCTCAGGGTTGGGCCTTTCTATCTTACTTCCCATCAGGTGGATGGTCTCGGCAGGCAGTGGCTGGGGTCTCCGGCCATTCCTCTGTAAACAGGTCTCCAGAGAACAGTCTAAAAAGACCTGGCAAAAACCTAATGAATCTGAAAGCAATTCAAAACCACAAAATGAGTAACGAACTGTTTTTCCCAAAATGTGAAATAAACATATTAGACAAATTATCCTGCCTGGAGCAGGAAAGACCATTCGTAATACTGAACATGTAGCTCTGAACATTAAGTAAATCCACATAAACCTCCTACTCCAATTAAATTCTCACTAAAGACAGTAGTGATTTTGGTATGTGAACAAATGTCTCCGTGTGTAAGAAAAAAAATGTTTTGATTACATTTCCGAGCCAGCTGATAGACTTCATATCTCATACTTTGATAATAAAAGTTGTCATCTAAAATCAGAAACAAAGGTCTGGAAACAGCAGTCTTCGTTAAGAGGTAGTGTGACGGGGCCTCAGGCGCTGCAGAAGATACGAGATCTTGATCCTTCAAGGAGGTTATAAAATCTTCCCACATGGCTTCAGCCCTGTTGGGTGGGGCAGACATCTGACACCCATTAATGACAGCCAGCAAGAAGTTCTCCAGGTACTTTAACAGTTCCTGTCGAAGCAATTTCCACTGGGATGGCTGCAAAAGATCACAGAATTGCACTTTATATTTCGCTTTGGCCAGTAGGGTGGTCATGGTTAACTGCCACCCTGCCCCATATGATAGTTTCAGAACCATTTGGAGTTCTCTAGATACAACTTGTTTCTTCCTCCTCCATGTCTTTGTATACACCATTCCCTCTGCCTGGAAAGCTGCTCGGTGATGTCAGTCCTCTGTCAACTCTTCTCAGACTCAACCATGCAGAAAGCAGCTCAGATCCTCCCTTGTCTATCATGACACCCTGTTCTGTGTATATTGGGCCTCCACTCTACCAGGGTTTATATTGTTTAGGCATCTCTATGTTCCCACTAGATCAATAGTCTCTCATATACCCAGTCTGCAGCAGGGGGTCTGGCACCTAATAGTTACTCTAGGAACGTTTATGAAATGACTGAGTAAGTGAATAAATGAAAGAGTGAAAAGCTGTTACCATCCAGGAGAAAGGAGAAACCAAGTCAGTATCCTGCCAAAACAAAATAGTCTGGCTAAGATACAGCAATGCTCATTTGCCCTTGAAATGAGAAAAGTTGTGGACAGAAAGAGTATAAGTGGACAGAAAGAGGATCAGCGGACAGGGCCCTGGGTCAACAACAGGATTGGAACGGGATAGGGAAAGATAGAGGAAGCAGGTGGAGGGGAAGAGAATAAATAGCTTGAAATTACAAGTAATCTCGCGTTGCTCAAGGGCTGTGGAGAACACTAACACAGTTATGAGGTCAAGGTTGGAGAGAAAACACAAGGACAGGCGATCAGGATCCCTGTCCTTCCTGTCCATGCCTCAATACATAACTGAGATTACAGCACATACAACAAATACAGTAACAAAACCCCCTCAAAAGGAAACACAGATCACTTCCTAAAAGGTGAGATATCATACTAAGAGTGATCAGATGGATCCCATGGCCTTGGTCTGTAGGGGGAGAGTGGAAAAAATATAGTAAGAAAAGTGAGAAGAAAAGCCAGCAAATACAACAATCCCTATCAACCACTTCCAGCTTTCTCCAGGGTGGTGAAAATACTATCACCCAAGTAAAGCCGGTGCCACCAGGACCCTCACCATTTACTAAGAATGGGGAAATACATAACTTTGCTGGTGAAGTTCAAAATTTTTCCACACACCAAATGTACTGTATTTTTGCATATGTACTTATAGAATGGAATCACATCATATTTGTATTTTATTTATGTGAATTCATCTATATTTGGCACTAAATTACAAAACTAACTAAAACTTTCAGAATACATCAAAGAGTATTTTCTCTAGAGTGAGCATGAGATGGGCAACGTGAATCTATTCTTTCCCCAGAAGTCTGTTTTCACTAGCTTCTCCAAGGGGATGCATCTCACTCCACTGAGGGTGATCTGGGGGCTTAAAGAGAAGTATGTACTTGGAACACCAAGTGGATCCCTAAATCAAAGCCTATTTACCTTATCTGGTGGTCAACTGAGAAACAGCCATCTTTTCCTTTGCTGGCAGAGGCAGGTTTACCCTGAGATGAATGAACATAAGCTTCAGAGGCCAAGCCCTTCATTTATACAGGATCTACTGTCATGGGAGGGACCCTAGGAAGCACTCTGCTACTTACAGTTTGGTATCCTTTTTTGGGGGGGGGGTAGGTAAGTAGGTTTATTTACTTTTTTCAAAATGGAGATACTGGAAACTGAACCCAGGACCTCGTACTTGGTAAACATACGCTCTACCGCTGAGCTGTATCTCCCTGCGCCCTATATTCTTTTTCTTAAAAAGGGTCCCCTAAACCGCATGACTTAAAGCTCCACAAAACCTAGATTCGTCTGGCTGGATGTTTAACTGACTGTTTAGGAATTTTTGAAGATTCTGTCCCTCTTTTCAGAACAATCTTCCCAAAGGACTTTCAAGAGGATATTTGACTGGGGGCGGGGGGAGGTTCCACTTTGCACGCTGACTTCAGAACGGAACCCTATACTGGTGGTTGTACTTGTTTTATATTTCTAATCGACTCATTCTGCGTTAAACCAGCTCCACTCTCCTCGAACACCTGTCTCTCCTCGATCAGGGCCCACCTCCCACATTGGGTGTTACTCAGCGTTTCTACAGCGGAGCTGGCCCGTTTCCCTCTGCGCCTACAATCTAGGCCCCGCCCCCTCCGCACCGACCAATGGGTTCGCCTCCTCGAAGAACGCGTCCGGCATGACGTCATCATAGGCGACGACGCCCACGGCCCAGCCCCGCTCCTGCCGTAACCGGTGGCTGAGGGCACGCGCCAAGGTAGATTTTCCTGCTGCGGGCAGGCCACAGAGGACGCAGAGGCCCAGCTTCCGCGGCCCCTCGCTGCGAGCTCCTCTGGCGTCCTCGCGGGCCTTCATGCTGCTGAGGGAGACCCGCGGCGGCTGGGAACGCTGTCTCCGGAACTGTCCGCCTTTGGCGCACGCGCAGAATCTCCCACCGCTCTGTTGCGCCGCCTGGTGCCGCAATGGAGGAATGGGGAGAGTCTTCCAATCCAAAAACCTGGCGTGGTCGCGGTTTCTGAGGTCGTCCCCTTGGTCACCAGAACGGCTGATGCTGAGCTTCCTATGAGACGAGTCCTCTAGGCTGGGGAGTCCACGGCGATGCGTTTCCTAAAACCTGGACGTTTCCTAGAGGGTCAGAGACTTGGACTTAAATCTTCAGTTAGAATCAGGTTTCCTGCCGATACTTGCAAACCATTAGAATCTGCGTCTCGGTTTTGTTTGGGTTGGGTTGGGTTTTGTTTTTTGTTTTTTGTTTTATAATGATGAAGTCCCCTGCCCAGGAAAATCGCAAGAGAGACTTTGAGCCTCTTCCTCCAGCGGTCTTTGGAAGGTCAGTTAGGGTAATCAGAGGAGGCGAAGCTGACAGTCCGACAACTCCGCTCCTCTGCCCCACCCAGATGTGATGAATGGAACGGGAGAGTATGTTACTGCGCCCTAACGCCGCCAGTCGGCAGCAAGCCTGAGGGAGGAGTAAAGGCAGGAAAGGACCCTAGACTTCAATTCCAGCGCATTCATGCAGCGCACACTAGGTGTTTTAGTGTTAAAAAGAAATACTAAGTTGTGGAGAAGTATAAAACGAATTCCTTTTGTGGGGATGTGGTTACGCAGCAGGTACACAGTACATTATCTATTTTCCTTCTCTTGGATTGAAAGTGAGTATTGAGTTAAACATACTTTTCATTTCATGACATTTTATTATCATAGGCCCAGTGCGAGATGGCTCTCCTTAATTTATTATTCTTTTTCATCACTCATGTACACTCACACTGATTTCTTCCCCCTTTCCTAGGCAACCTTTTTTTTTTCTTGTTTAAACATGATTATTTTGTTTATTTACTTTTAGGCTATTTTTTTAAGAGCAGTTTCAAGTTCACAGCAAAATGGAGTAGAAAGTACAGAGAGTTCACATATACCTCTGTCCCCCAACCCCACCGTCTTGCACTGGCAACATCCAGTGTGGTATATTTGTTACAACCAATGAACTACACATCGTTATCTCCCAAAGGCCATAGTTTATACTGGGTTTACTCTTGGTGTTAACATTCCATGAGTTTTGGCAAATGTATGATGACATGTATCCACCATTATAGTGTCATACAGAATAGTTTCATTGCCCAAAAAAAAAAATCTGTGCTCTCCCTACCTGGCGACTGCTGATGTTTTTGCTGCCTCCATTGTTTCGCCTTTTCCAGAATGTCATATCGTTGAAATCATACAGCCTTTTCAGATTTGCTTCTTTCACTTATGTCTTTTCATAGCTTGATAGCTTGTTTCTTTTTAGCACTGAAGGATATTCCATTGCCTTGATGAATCACAGTTTATCCATTCACCTACTGAAAGATGACTTGATTGCTTTAAAGTTTTGGCGATTGTGAATAGTTACTATAAACATGAATGCAGATTCTTGCATGGACATAAGTTCTTGACTTATTTGGGTAAATACCAAGGAGCGTGATTACTGGATCTTATGGTAGGAGTGTGTTTAGTTTTGTAAGACTCTGCCAGACTGCCTTCCAAAGTGGCTGTACCATTTTGCATTGCCACCAGCAGGGAATGAGAATATCTGTTGTTTCATATTCTTGTCAGCACTTGGTGTTGTCAGTTTTAGATTTTAAATATTCTGATAGGTGGATAGTGGTATCTCATGTTACTTTGGTTTTCACTTCCCTAATAATACATGATGTTGAGCATCTTTTCCTATGTTTACTTGTCATCTGTACACACAGTCAGCCTGCTGTATCTGTGGGTTCCACACTTGCAGATTCAACCAACTGCAGATTTAAAATATTTGGAAAAAAATTGCAGAAAAGTTTCAAAAAGCAAAACTTGAATTTGCTCCTGCCGGCAATTATTTCTATAGCATTCACATTGTATTTACAACTATTTACATAGCATTTAACTGTATGAAGTATTATAAGTAATCTAGAGATGATTTAAAGTATACAGAAGTTGTTCATAAGTTATATGCAAATAGTATGTCATTTTAGATAAAGGACTTGTGCATCTGCAGATTTTGGTATGCACAGGGGTCCTGGAATCAATTCCCCCACAGATAGTGAGGGCTGACTCTTCTTTGGTGATGTTTTTGTTCAGATCTTTGGCCCACTTTTAAACTGGGTTCATTTTCTTACAGTTGAGTTGTAAGAGTGTTTGTATTTTTGGATAAAAGTCCTTTATATATCTTTTGTAAATATTTTCTCCCAGTCTGTGGCTTTTCTTCTTGTTCTCTTGGAAGTACCTTTGGCAGAGTGGAAATTTTTCCTTTTAATGAAGTCCAGCTTACCGGTTACTTCTTTCATGGATCATGTCTTTAAAGTTCTATCTTAAATGTCATCACCAAGCCTAAAGTATCTAGATTTTTTAAATGTTATCTTCTGTAAGTTTTATAGTTCTACATTTAGCATTTGTCTGTGATTAAATTTGAATTTTTGTGAAAGATAAAAATCCTGTATCTATATATATATTTTTTAAACATATGGTTATCCAGTTTGTTCCACCTCCATTTGTTGAAGACTTTTTCCCTCCATTGCATTGCCTTTGCTTCTTTATCAAAGATCAGTTGACTATATTTGTGTGGGTCTATTTCTCGGCCATTTTGTCCATTGATCTACTCGTCTGTTCTTTTCCCAGCACCACACTGCCTTGATTGCTGTAGCATTACAGTTAAGTTGGGTAGTGTCAGTCTTCTGACTGCTCTTTCTCTTCAATATTGTGTTGGCCATTTTGGGTCTTTTACCTCTCCATATAAACTTAAAAATAATATTGTTGATATTTACAAAAGCACTTTCTGGGCTTTTGATTGAGATTGTGTTGAACCTGTAGTTCAAGTTGGGAAGAAGTGACATCTTGACAAGATCAAGGCTGTCTATCCATTAACATAGAGTATCTCTTTTCATTTATTTCTTCTTTGACTTCATTCATCAGTTTTGTAGTTTTCCTCAAATAGATCTTGACAATTTTTGTTAGGTTTATACCAAGTATTTCATTTTTAGGGTGTAAAGCATATTGTGTTTTAAATTTAAAATTTCACTTGTTCATTGCTAATATTAGGAAAGCGGTTGACTTTGTATGTTAACCTTGCATCCTGCAACCTTGCCGTAATCAGTTATTAGTTCCAGTTAGTTTTGATTGATTCTTTCGTATTTTCTACATAGGCAGTCATGTCATCAAAAACAAAACCAGTTTAATTTCTTCCTCCTCAATCTGTGTACCTTTCATATCCTTTGTCTTACTGCATTAGCTAGAGCTTCCAGTAAGATGCTGCAAAGGAGTGGTGAGAGGAGACATCCTTGCTTTGTTCCTGATCTTTGTGGGAAGGCTTCTAGGTTCTCACCATTAAGTATGATGGTAGCTGTAGGTTTTTGGTAGATGTTCTTTATCAAGTTGAAGTTCCCCCCTATTCCTAGTTTGCTAAGAGGTGGTTGTTTTTTTTTTATCATGAATGGGTATTGGATTTTATCAAATGCTTTTTCTGTAACTACAGTACAATTATGTGATTTTTCTTTTTTAACCTGTTAGTATGATGAATTACATTACTCAATTTTCAAATATTGAACCAGCTTTACATGCCTGGAATAAATCCCACTTGGTCATGGTGTCTAACTCTTTTTATACATTGTTGGATTCATTTTGCTAATATTTTGTTGTTAAAAGGAACCTGGATTTTTGCATAAGTTTTCATGAGAAATATTGGTCTTTTTTTGTTCTTTTCTCATAATATCTGTCTGATTTTGGTATTAGGGTAATGCTGGTCTCATAGAATGAGTTAGGGAATATTCCCTCTGTTTCTATGTTCTCAGAGACTGAAAATAATTGCTATAATTTCCTCTCTGGATGTTTGGTAGAATTCACCAGTTATCTGGAACCAGTTATCTTTTTTAAACAACATATTTTGGAAAAAAATGATTTTAAAAAATTTCATGTTGTTTTATATTTCAAAATTTCAAAATGAATTACTGTAACTTCAAGTTTAGGTGTCCACTATCTAAAAAGATATGCTTTTTAAAGAATAGGTTCAAAAATAAGCAAGTGATGTTGGCATCCAGCCATAATTAGGGTATAACCTTGAATTTGTAAAGCTTTCTTCACAGACCTCAGTCTCACCTGAGGCCCAGAAAAGGACAATAATATGAGATATTTACTAAATATGTGGTTCTCTTAAATTAGCAGGGTGTCAGCATGGCACCATTGCATTTAGTCCCAGAGATAAGAGTATTTGACAGAGTCCAGGTGGTGGATTTGGGTCTAATAATGGGGCCCAGACCACTTGGGTATGGGAACTATGTCCTGCTCCACACACTCCCTTCTTCCCTCAGCCCCAGGACTATCCACTGCACCATAGGGAAGGGAGCTACGCTTGGCTGTAGTTCAGTGGTGGAAATATTACAAACCTCCTAGAGTTTAAAACTGTGCTGCAAAATTATTCTCTTCTTGAGAATGATCTTAGAATGCAGTAACTTCTTTCTTACCAAAGAAAGCAAGTGACAACTCACATATACCTAATTCGGAGTTGCTGCCTTTTCTCCAGAATTTTTGTAGTCAAGTGAACCAATCTCGAGACATTCATGACTCATTTTCCCTCACATATAAACACATAACCTGAAGGCACTCAGGTCACTCCTGTTTAGGATTTAGTGTTAAACTCGATTTAAATCACTATTACATTAGATTGGTTCAGTCACGTGGGCAGTGTCACACTAAGTACAGTCTCAGTTGTCATCATTCTGACCCTTCTGGTCCTCAGAAGAGGAGGTTGGGCAGTAATCATGCTAGAGCAGTCACTCTGCTTTGAACCTGGGGTGAGACTGCTTGACTAACCTCAGCTTACTGGTCCTCTCCTATCAGCTCTGCCACTCAGGGCCGCAGACATTGTGTGTGACGCTGGCCTCGCCTAGGTCTCCTGCCTACCACACGGGCTGCAGAAGG